TGGATCTCTTACTTCAGAGTGTCCTCCCCCCCGAAAATGGCTAAAGAAAAAACAAGCTAACAAAAAAAGAAGTTGCCCACTTCTTGCCCTAAGAAACTGACTACAAGTGGGGCCCGGTGGTGCAGGCCTATAATCCCAGCACGCAGAGAGGCTGAGGCAGGTGGATCACTATGAGTTTGAAGCCAGCCTGGTCTACAAAGTGAGTTAAGGACAGCCAAGAGAAACCCTGTCTCAAAACATTCCCCCCCAAAAAAAGAAAGAAAAAAAAAGAAAGAAATTGACTACAACTTGTGAAACCTGCTAGGTGACCATAAAAAATTTCTAGGCAGAAGACATTCTGTAATTAAGAAGACAATATCCCAGCCATGCCCAGTGCACACCTCAGCGCTGAGAAGACAGAGGCAGGAGAATCTCTGTAAGTTTGAGGCCAAATGATATACAAAATCAGTTCCAGGGCAGCCAGAGACAGGTCCAAAAAAGGGGAAGAAGGGAGGAAGGAAAGAGGAGAGGGGGAGGGGGAAGAGAGAGAGAGAAATAAAGTGAAACATTCAAATCACAAACTCATTTTCTAGTATCTGACATGCACCACACCACCCCTCCCAAACGACCTCAGCTGACACTAGAATAGGCCAGAAGAGAACTTCTTGAGTTAACAAACTCAGAACAGAGATTAGGTGACGGCAGGATGCAGTTAAAATTGATAAAGCAGCTTCCTCACTTGTGTCTGAGATTTCCCACTATGTCATCCTTTAAAAGAAAATTACGTAGTTTTTAACAGCCGACTTCTGGCTCACTTTGCTCGCTCACTGCAAAGACTGGTCCAAACACCTAACTCTTCTGGGAAGCCTTTAACGACGTCAGGACTGCCCCCTTAAAGAGGAGCTGCTGCGTTTGCACAGTTGGAGCAAAGGCAGGCACAGCTTCGTTTGTTTGTTTAAGACACCATAGACAGGTAAATTAAAACACTAACCAAAACAAAAATGGTATTCGCTAAGAGGCGGGGGTCCTCACGTAGAGAAGAGTTTACATAATATGTCAGAAAACCAAACAGCTCTGCAGACCTGTCAAGGGAGACAAGATTTGAGCTGTATTCCCGTCATCTCTACTTTGCAAGAGCCCCATAAAAACTGGGTACATAACAAATCTGCACACGTTCACCCCATGCTTTCCTAGCCACAATTTACTAAAACAGAGAAAAGATGGGGGAGGGGGAAAAACAGCCAAACAAAATAAAACCCTAGCCTCACACTTCTGAGTCCAAAGTATGGAGTAACTTAACCGAGCAGGGGAGTTTTTCTTGCTGCGAAGGAGGAAGGAGAACAAGGCAACTGCCTCGAATGTGTGCCTCGCCCAGCACTGCAATGACAAGCTCCAAAACTCCACGGTGGCCCCAGCAAGCTCCCTCGCGGCCCGTCCCAGCACGGCCCCGCGGCCCGCACTGTGCCCATCGCCGGCCTCTCACAAAGGAGAGTGGTTCAGTACCGAGCATCCCGCACCTGATCACTGGGAACTGCACCCGCATGAGTGCGAGCGAGGACGTGTTACCCCACCCACTACCGGTCCCGGCTCCGCTGAGGCTTGGTGGAGCCGCGCGTGCCGCGGGCTTACCTGAGCCAGTCCTGCGGCTTCCTTCCCCCAGCAAGAGTTGCAACCCACCGTCCGGGAGAACAAGGCGCCTTCCGGCGAAGCACGGCCAGCCCTCGCCGCAAGCAAGCTTGCTAGTTCTCCGTGCCCCTAGGCCCGCCCACAGCCCTCCACCCGCCAATGGCAGGGCCGGAACTGGGCGCCATCCAGGAAGTCTCCGAAGGGTGGGAGGTCCTGAGGCTGAGAAGGGTACGTAGGCAACCGCAGATATGCCTGATTGGAAATAGAAACGGACGCGGGCTGCCAGGACCGGCCTCTGACCCCAACCACTGGGGGCGCTCCAGACCGAAACAGCACCTGCTACCTGTCTCCGGAGGCCATCTTGGGTCGACTGGCTCGGTGAAGCCACATGATTACTTACAGGAATTTGAAGACCCTTTTGGAGTTCTGTTGGTCCAGCCCCAACATGCTCTTCCTTCATGTATCAGGATACCTCAGTCAGGGTGAGGAATTCTGGAATATTGTTGGACGCGACTGGAAGCAAGCCCCACTAACCTCTCACTTAAATGTAGGAATGATGATGTTGTTTTATCCAAGAAGCCAGCCGACAGTGTCTCAAATGACACTTCCTAGGGTAATCCTTTATAAACAGGATTATCAACACATAATCGACACAGGTTAAATAGCCATTCTACATGCTTATCTAGGCGTCTGTTACAGATCTTCCACTGTTCTTAAGTTTTTTGAGTCAGGGTCTCAATGTGTCGCCAAGGCTGCCTTGGAACTCGCTCCTTGAACCAGTCTGGCCCCAAACAGAGAGATAATGGAATTTAAGGCATGAGCCACCACGCCCCAACCTGGTGTTCTGATTTGAGCAACTCCAAATACTGAGTCATTTAGTGATAATAGGAGTGAAAATTTTCACTTTAAAAAAAAAAAAACAAAAAAAACCAAAAAAACCACCAGCCTTAAAAGTCACCAATAGTTCCAAAGTATTTACGAATACACACAGAGCAAACAAGACTTAGAGTACTGGAAAGAAGCAAAACTTCATAACTCGGCGAAACTGCACTGAAAGGTGTTCCTGTGTTTTCTAAAGTACTGCGGACTACATTTCCATACAGTTAGTTGGGGGGGGGGGGTTAAATCAACAATATTTGAAAGCGCCAGGGTGCTTGAGCAACACGGCAAGAACTACAAACCTTGTTTTTAAAAAGACTGATTACCGGGATATGGCAGTCCCACGCCTTTTATCCTAGCATTTGGGAGGCAGAGGCAGTCAGATCTCTTCAGTGAGGCCAGCCTGGTCTACAGATCAAGTTTCCAGACAGCCAGAGCTACTCAAAGAAAACCAGTCTTGGAAAAAAAAAAATTCTATTGTAGTTTTAATTATGTATATATATACATTGCATGAGCGCTTGTGCTGGCAGAGAGCAGAGATATGAGATCTCCTTGACTAGGGGTATAGCGGACTATGAGCCAACAGCAGGAGGGGCAGAGAACCTAACTCTGGTCCTCTACTGGATCAGCTGACATGCTCAACAGCTGAGCCGGCTCATCTCATGGATGGAGTCTTTTCAATTATGAAAGTAAGGTGGGGGAGGTGCCGTGGCCTACACCCCTAAGGTTGCGGCAGAGGCAGGAGGATCTCTGTGAGTTTGAGGCCAGTGTGGTCTACAAAATGAGTCCAGGACAGCAAAGGCTACACAGAGAAGTCCTGTCTCAAAAACTGTGCCCATACCTTTAATCCCAGCACTAGGGAGGCAGAGACAGGTGGATCTCTGAGTTTGAGGTGAGCTTGGTCTATAGAGCAAGTTCAACGACAGCCAGGCTACACAGAGAAACCCTGTCTTGAAAAACAAAACAAACAAAAGAACCCCCCCCCCAAAAAAATCAAAGGGGTGGGAATTTCATGACAATATTTTATGAGGAGATTAAGAATATGTTGAACTAAACCTCTTGGTCAGATTCTTTCCTAGTTCTAAATACCACTGTATAAATTTGTAGTTGTTAGGGTTTACCAGAATAATGTGTTTATGTGCATATGCAAAGAGGTATAATCTTAACTATTAATGGTTTCTGTAATAAGAACCTATTGTTTTTCTCATTACTTTCTGGTACAGAATACAAGACCTACCAACAAAGGAAGTCACTATAAGCATCATAGAAAGGGAAAGTGTCTGATCCAATGATTTCTGCTAATTACACTGACTTGTTATCAATTACATGATTTCCAGCGTTAATGATTTCAAAAGCCAGTTGACACCCAGAATGTCTCATAATTACTATTCAGCACATAGGGGTGGGAGATGTTTCTATATTAACTCATGAACTCTTGACTCAGGACATGAATTTATAGCCACAGTTTTTTTTCTGTTTACCTTTAAATTGTTAAAAATATCAAGTATAGAAGGTTATAAAATAGGGCTGGATAGATAGCTCAGAGGTTAAGAACACTGTTCTTCCAAAGGTTCTGAGCTCAATTCCCAGCAACCACATGGTGGCTCTTAGCCATCTATAATGAGATCTGGTGCCCTCTTCTGGTGTGCAGGCACATATACAGGCAGAACACTATTTACATAATAAACAAACACATCTTTTCTTCTAAGTTATAAAATATAATCAGATGTGGGAATTAGCTTTTTTTTAATGCTCCAAAAAATTCAGATATTTGAAAACATTGAAATATCCTCATTCTGAGGATAACAGCTGTAGGCAAAATACTGTCTTTAGCCAATTCTCTAATGCTTGTAAATTGCTAAAAAAAAAAAAAATTTTTTTTTTGAACAGTAAAGAAAAACTTTTCTTTTGTTCTTTTCTTGTTGTTTTTCAAGACAGTATTTCTCTGTATAGCCTTGGCTGTCTTGGACTCTCTTTGTAGACCAGGCTGGCTTTGAACTCACAGAGATCCACTTGCCTCTGCCTCCCTGAGTCCTGGGATTACAGGTGTGCACCACTGTGCCTGGCTAAGAAAAACTTTTCAACAGAAACTACAACAATGATGAGTGTGCTGGAACATTCAGCACTCAGGAGGCCAATACAAGAGGATCAGGAGTTCTAGGACAGCCTGGGCTACCTACAGATTAAAAAAGGGGAGGGAGAAAAAAAATGAAAAGTACTAAATTATATGCTCAGTTTTATGCCTGGTATGGAAGGCAGGCTAAATGCAAATTCAACAAGCACTAAATCTTTTTGGAATGAGGCAGAGTTAAAGCCAAAACACCAGAAGCATCATCACCCCAACGCTTGTCTTCTCACTTCCTGTATCCACAGTTAACTTTATTGCTACTATTGTGAGCAGAATTCAATATAAAAGCCAGTTCTAAGGAGGAAGTATCTCTGGTGCAATACTCTAGGAGGGTGTTACCCACTTACATCCAGGGCACAGTGAGGTTAACACAGGAAACAGAAACAGCTTGGATCATGCATATATTTAATAGGAAAACAGTCATTGACATTAAAAATTAGAAATTTGGTGAGACCTCAGTGCTGTGAAGGAAAACGAGCAAGTAAAAAAGACAGCAACTGTCCCAGAAGGCGGTGTAATGAGTGGAGCAAGGCAAACTGGGCTAAAGAAGTAGTATATATTCTAAGGAGCAGGTGAAGAAGTATCTACTTATCTGAGTCTTGGTGGCAGGTATTCTTATTGAATGCTGCATAGAATGGAGACAGTAAGTTACAGTGAGGCAGGGTAGAAGAGCACTAGAAAACCCAGGGTAAGGAGATGGGAAAAAGTGCAGTACAATTACAAAGAGATAACTGATAAGGCCTTTTGTTTCTTCTAAAGTCTACAGCCTTACATTTTAAAGTATGCCATTCATGTTTAAGATCATGACTTGCACATAGCTGAGTAAAGGATGATGGGATAGAAATGACCAAACTCACAACCTGTATGAGATAGACACCCCCCCCAAAAAAAGCATTACAAAACATATTTACAAAGTAAAACATATACAAATAAATATACATATGAATAACATAGGAATGCTAAGATACTGTGTTAATAATTGCTTAGAACTCCGTAGGTCAGTCAATGAGGATTTCCTTTAAAAAAAAAAGTCACTATAATGTTAGAAGAGGGTAGAACATGTGCAAAGGTACAGAAGTTGGAGTAAACATATTATATTTAGTAAGCCAATAAGCTTGATTAGAATAAAAGTCTAACCCATCTGGTTAGGGAGTATGCCCATCTACCTGGGAGTCTGAAGCATCAGAATCCCAAGTTTAAGGCCTGCAAGTTCAAGGCTAGCCTAGACAAGTTGCCTCAAAACAAAAGGTAAAAGAGAAGGCTCCTGAGGGTACAGCTCAGTAGCACAGCATTTACCTACCATGTTTAAGAACCTGTATTTCATCTCCAGCACGCACACATGTGTGCACACACACACACAGGCAAAACAAAAAGAAAGAGGTGAGAGAAAGAATGATAAAACAGTAGAGATCAATTTGGTGAAAGAAACTGTAATGCTAGAACTGATCCCTAAACAAAATAAGCAATTAAGGTATGTGGCTACAGTTCTAGTACCAGCCAGATAGCCTAGCTTAAGCATGATGCTCTAGGTCACCGTAAAAGATGCTGTCCTGAGGCTGGGCTTCTGAGGAATGATGCTTAAGGCTGTGCACAAACACAATAAATAAAAAGAAACTAGCAATGTATAGATGTATCATCCAATGGCTATCTAGAGTCTTAATCCTAAATGTTCAATCAGAATATCCTTCACCCCAGTTACTAAAAATTAGGTGAGAAACAGATTGTATTTTATTCCTTTCTCTCTCTTTTCTTTTTGGCTTTTTGAGACAGATGGCCTAGTGATACTTATGTAGCCCAGCCTGACTTCCAAGTTCCTGCCAACCCTTCTGAGTGCTGGAATTATAGGTATGTGCCATATCACCTAGCAAACAGGTGGAGATACTTAGTAAGTTGTTTATTTTTTATCTACTGTGACATTCAGTTTTGATCCTACATTTTAGAAATCTGAGGATGAAAAGAGCCCTAATCTATATGGAATGCTCATGTCCCTAAAGGAGGACAGGTCAGAAAAGGGCCCAATTTTCTCCTGGTGTTTAAGTGGAAGGGTTAAGCATTGCACACTGAAAAAAGGCTGCTCTCAGCCAAGCAAGTAAGACCTCTTTCTTTAAGCTGATTGATCTGAAGCATTTCCAGGAGAGGACAGGGGGAGAGTTCAGGCCAGATGTTCAGCAGCAGCCAGAGTCAGACCCTGCATCAAAAGAGCTTCGCTGAGAGGAACCTGTTCCTGTTGATGTTGTTGCAATTGACTGTTGGGGCCCAATCTTGATGCCATTTGCCTGTAAAAAATAAAAATAATAATTTAAAAAAAAGGGGGGGGGGGGACAATTCCCGCATCAGTACTAAAGTGAATGAGAGAAGGACAGGGATAAAAGAGAATTCTTAAATTAAATTCTGCAGATCGTGTTCTCTAGAAAACTGTTGTGAAAGAATGACATATGACAAGTAAGAATGAGATGATTGGCTGTGAAGAGAGCCATAGCTGACTGGAAGTGGTTTTTGACTGTTTTCAAGGTCAATACTGTACATACATTTCACAGCTATATACAGAATTAAGATGAGATTGAGCATGAGGAGAAACGTGGGGGCTGAAGGGATAGCTCAGCAGAAGTACTTGCCATGTAAGCATGAAGTCCACAGTTGAGATTCCCAGAAACCATACAGAAGCCAGATGAGCATGGAGCCCACCTGTGATCCCAGTCCTTGGAGGCAAAGACAGGGAGTCCCTAGAACAAATTGGCTAGACAGAATAGTCTCAATGGTGAGCTCTGGGTTCAATAGAGACCCTGCCTCAATGTGTAAGATGAATAGTGACAAAGAAAGACACCTGTGGTCAGCCTTGGGCCTCAAGATGAACACCCACATGTTCATCTACACACATGTGGACATGCATATATGTGTATGTGAACCACATACACATACATAAGCCAAAAGAGGCAGAAGAGTAGACATGGGATATTAGCATATGATTATTTTTTTGTTTTGTCCCAGAGGTTTCCCTCCTAAATAACAAAGAATTATCTCATCTTCTAAAATAGTAAGAAACTGAGGTCAAGAAGAAAAAAACTCCCATTATTATGTACGTTTGTAGAACACCAATTTATCTCTTTCAGCATTATAGGGCTCATAGACTTGAGAAAAACAGAAATTGATAATGGGTTACTAGATATCTGCACTTAAAAAAAAAAAAAAGCAGCCAGGTGCAGTGGCACATGCCTGTAATCCCAGCACTCAAGGAGGCAGAGAGGCAGGTGGATCACAGGAGTTCAAGGCCAGCCTGGCCTGCAAAGTGAATCCAGGACAGCCAAGGCTACATAGAGAAACCATGTCTTGAAAAACAAAAACAAAACAACAACAACAAAAAATAAAATAAAAAAAAATCTTGACATGATAGCTGATTAGTGTGACCTCAGGGCAGGAATTATGACATTCTAGGGAGTTTCTAGCAAGGTATCTGCCAGTTCCAACCCCAAACCTTTCTCACCTCATTATGGACATCAAATAAACCCTGCTGGATCTTCCTATATATTTCTTTGGCTGTATTAATGAAGGCCTGAAGGAGACAGAAATCATTTATCAGTCTTAAACTGAAGTAGAGACCTAAGAGAAACACAAATATTCTTATTTGGATTCCTAAGGTGATTAAGGATCTGGGTGTGGTGGTCCATACCTGTAACCCCAGCTCTGAGAAGGAGGAGGTAAGAAGATCTAAGTCTGAGGACAGCCTGCTCTACACAGTGAGTTCCAGACCAGCCAGGGCTACATGGAGAAACCCTGTCACAACTTCTGTCCCCACACAAAAAGGTTATCTCCACAAACGTCTTGTAAAAGCATTGATTAGACACGGTGTTCCACCTGCCGTCTCAGTGCTCCAGGGACTAAGCAGGAGGGGTGCAAACTCGAGGCCAGCTTGAGCTACACAGCAAGGGGTACTCTGAGCTACATAGCATAACTACATCTGCAGTAACAAAACCACCACCACAGTAAAACACATTGAATGCTCCTCTGGCATTCAGGTGCTGATGTTCCTAGGTCATAGGTTAGCAGGCAGTACAAATAAAACAAATACACTTAGCTGGGCAATACAGTCAACACCTGGAGTCACAGTGGGGGCAGTTTCTGTCAGATTCTCAAGTAAAGTGATTTGTAAATAACAGCGGCATCTAATCCATATGTGCTAATTATTGTTATCCTTGGCAAAAGTAAGACCTTTGTTATTAGAGTGAAAGAGAACAGGACAATTCCCTTGGAAGGAGACAGTCACTCTGACCACAGAATGTTCTTGTTTATTCTCGTCCCATAGAGAGAAGGATTCTGAAATAGCGTGACTTCTAAGCCATTCTCCCCCCTTCTGAATAATACCTCTTCAACATTGCAGGCTGTCTTGGCTGATGTTTCCATGAATATAAGGCCGTGCTCCCGAGCAAAGGCCTCTCCTTCCTCTCTTTTCACATCCCTTCGGGATTCCAGATCACTGTAAGAGATTAATTAGGGAGGAAACTTTAAAGACTTAAGATAAGGGGGTAACCATAGTTCTAAAAGGCTCCCGCAGCAGTTTAAAACTGCCAATTGATACTTGAAAGTTATAGGTCCTACATGACACTCTTCTGAGTAGACTCACCAACTTCTCTAGTCTCTTGGAAGATATTGCTCACACTCAGAATAGCTTGTGCAAGCTGAAGATAATACTGTTCTCTGCTACAGAGAGAGAGGTGGGCAAACCCCAGTCACTCAAGGTCCCCTGTGCCTTTTCAAGTGGGATCCAGGACAGCCAGTAGAGATGATAAAGGGAGTACTTTTACCAGAAGGCTCATGTCTAAGGACTTAGCATCCTGTAGTGATGACTCTCTCTTGTTTTTTCCTTTTTTGTTTGTTTTTTACCATGTTCCCTCCTCAAACCCCACTAAGACAGGGCTTCTCTGTGTAGCCTTGGCTTTCTTGGACTTGCTCTGTAGAGGAGGCTAGGCCTGAACTCAGAGATCTGCCTGCCTCTGTATTCTTGAGTGCTGGGATTACAGGTGTGCACCATTACGTCCAGCTTTTTTATCCCCCCCCCCCCTCAAGACAAGGTTTCTCTTTGTAGAAGTGGCTGCCCCGGGAAATTTCTCTGTAGACCATACCGGCTTCTAACTCACAGAGATCTGCCTGCCTCTACCTCCCAAGAGCTGGGGTTAAATGCATGTGCAACCATTGCCCAATTGACTCTCATTTCCAGAATGAACTCATGAGAGATTAAGCCAGGACTAAGGAGATTGGTCCCCTTAACTCTTACTAGTCTCATTCCTAGTGTGTATAAGATACTTAACACTTTGGACTTAGAGAAAGTGATATGGATAATATTATGTAATATGGGGAGAAAAGGACCCAAGAAAAGAAATGAATTAGCACGGAAAGGTCATGAAATACAGAAAAAAAAAAAAAAAAAAAAAGGTAGTGAAAACACATAAGAAAAACCACAGAATCAACTAGCTCATAGGGTCTCAAAGAGATGAACCAACAACCAAGGAGCCTGCATGGGTCTTCCTAGGCACATGTTACAGTTGTGTATCTTGGTGTTCTTGTGGGACTCCTAACAGTGGGATCAGAGACTGTCTCTGTCTCTTTTGACTGCTCTTCCTCCTTCTGGGTTGCCTAGCCCAGCCTTGACATGAGGGGAGGTGCCTAGTCTTACTGTAACTTGATAGCCATGTTTGCCTGATACCCTTTTCTGAAGAGAAACAGAGAAGGAGTGGATGGGGTGGGGAGAAGAGGAGGGAGGGGAAACTGTTAGGGATGTAACATATGAGAGAAAAAATTTAAAAAGCTGGTAAAAACAGGGTTTCTCTGTGTTGCCCTGGCTGTCATGGAACTTGCTCTGTAGATGAAGATGGCCTCAAACTCAGGGATCCACCTGCCTCTACCCAAGTGCTGGGATTAAAGGTGTGCACCACCATTCCCTGGAAGATTCTAGCTTTTTAATCAAAGAAGAGGAGGAAGAGGAGAAAGAGGAGGAGAAAAGAAAAAGAAGAGGGGGAAGAGGGGAGGAGGAAGAGGAGAAGAAGAGTAGAAGAGAAGGAAGTGGTAGTGCTGAGGAGGAGAAGGAAAGGATTTATCCAGATTAAGTTTCCACATCACAGTTCATCATTAAAGAAAGGCAAAACAGGAACTTATATTGTTGGTTGTGAGCCTAGCCTTTATTGGCTGAGCCATCTCTCCAGCCCTAGGACAAGAACTTAAACAGGGCAGGAACCTGGAGGGAGGAGCTGATATAGAGGCCATTGAGGGGTGCTGCTTACTGGCTTGTTCCTCATGGCTTGCTTATCTTGCTTTCTTTCTTTCTCCTCCTTCTCTCTGTCTCCCTCCTTCTCTCTCTATGTGCTGTTTGTATATACACCTGCAAGCCAGAAGAGGGCGTCACATCCCTTTATAGATGGTTGCCACCACGTGGTTTCTGGGAGTCAAACTCAGAACTTCTGGAAGAGGAGCCAATGTTCTTAAACCTCTGAGCCATGTCACCAGCCCTTAGCTTGCTTTTTATAGATGACAAGACCACCAGACCAGGAATGGCCCTTCTCCTTTGATCACTAACTAAGAAAATGCCCTACATACAAGCTTGCCTACAGCCCAATCTTAGGGAGGCTTTTTCTTAACTGAGGCTCCCTCCTTTCTGATGACACTAGCTTGTATCAAGTTGACATAAAACTAGCCAGAACCTCTATTAAAGAACAACAGACCTAAAAAAGGCACCCCACACTTAACACATAAAAATGAAGTTTCTGCCTCTCAACCACTTGCAATTCTGTCTATTGGGCTTTCACAACTCCAAAATGACACAAGATGAGAAGACAAGGTGTTCAAATGTCTATAACCCGAGCAGTTAGGAGGCTTACACAGGAGGATTTTGAGTTCAAGGCCAGGCGAGGCTACATAGTGAGATCCTGTTTCAAAAATGAAAACATAGTGGGTGTAGTGGCACATGCTTTTAATCCCAGCACTCCAGACACAGGCTGATGCAGGTGGGTATCTGTGAATTCTAGGCAGCCTGGTCTACAAAGCAAATGTCAGGCCAGCCAGGGCTACATACTGAGATTCTGTCTCACAAAATAAAATAATAATAGTAATAATAACACTTTTAAAAATCAGTATGTAACAAGAAACGAGAGTGGCAGAACCCACTGCTGACTCTCAGGCTTTACTGTACCTAAAATACAAGTACACTGATCATAGTAACTGTTGCTGTTTAAAGATGGAATTTTTTAAAAGGAAATATAAACATTTATTTATTATTATAATTTTTCAAATAGTTATCAAGCTGTTATTAGAAGCCTGAGATGTAGTTTGTTTGCTGGAATGCTTGTACAAAGAACTGAGTTCAACTTTGGCACCAGGCGTGTGGTGCTTGCCCTTAGTAATCCTAGCACATAGAGGAGAAAAACAGGAGGATTAGAGGTTACAGTGTGTACAAGGCTAGTCTGCAACAAATGAGACTGTCTTCAAAGAAGTATGTTATTTTATTTATTTATTGTGTATGTTTTACCTGTCTGGTATACATGTGACAGGCAGATATGTAGAAATCAAAAGGCAACGTGTGGAATGGTTGGCTCTCTCTTTCTACCATGTATGATCCGGGTCAAACTTTATGTCATCACGCTTGGCAGCAACTGCCCTTACCTACTAAGACATCTCAATGACCCAAAATATGTTACTGTCTTAGGGTTTCTATTGCTGCAACAACACAGCATAGCCAAAAATCAAGTTGGGGAGGAAAGGGTTTATCTGGCTTATACTTCCACACTGAATCATGTTCATCACCAAAAGAAGTCAGGACAGGAACTCAAGCAGGGCTGGAACTGGAAGCAGGAACTGATAGAGAGGCCATGGAGGGTGCTGCTTACTGGCTTGCTCTGGCTGCTTTCTTACAGAACCCAGGACCACCAGCCCAGGGATGGCACCACCCACCATGGGCTGGGCCCTCCCCCATTGCCCACTAATTGAGAAAATGCCTTACAGCTGGATCTCATGGAGGCATTTTCTCAACTGAAGCGCCTTCTTCTCTGATGACTAACTTGGGTCAAGTTAACACATGACACACAAAACCAGTCAATACAGTTACTCAGATCTAACATTTTGCTTTCAAAGATTTTTTTAAAAGTATGTGTATGTATTTGTTTAGATGTGTATGCCACTGTGTTTGGGTTCCTAGAGGCCAGAAGAGGGTGTAGGATCTTCCGCAGCTAGAGTTACAGGTAACAGGGAGCCACCTGACATGAATGCTGGAAACAGAACTCAGATCCTAGGAAGAGAAGAAAGCGTTCTTCATCTCCTGAGCCATCTCTCCAGCCTGTTTTTGGGTTCATCTAGCCTGGGCTAATCTCCATCTCTCTCTATGTATCCAAAGACAGCTTTAAAATCCTGATCCACCTACCTCCACTTCCCAACTCTTAGGATTCCATGATGATGCCTAGCACTCTGGCCTAGTCTATGTAGTGAGGCCAGCTAAGGCCCTGTTTCAACAACAATAACAACAACAACAACAAAAAGGAAGAAAAAAAAGAAAAGAAAGAACGGTAGTTGGCAGATGCCAAGGAAAACACTGAGGGCAAGAGATATGATAGAATTCAATGGTTCTAAAGTCTGAGGAAATGAAAGAACAATTTTAATATGTTTAGGGCTACAAAATACTTTAAGAAGTAGTTAAGATGGTAAATTTTATGTTTATCGAACCATAGCAACATTTTCTTACTAAGATAATATATTAGGAAACTCAGTATCAAGCAATCCAGTGTCAGTCAGATGGCACATGCCTACAGTCCCAGCCTTGAGAAGGAAAGCAGGCAGCTGGCAGCATATTTTAGGCCAGCCTGTGCTACAAAGTTCCAGGCCAACCAGGGTACTTCAGTAACACTCTGTCTCCAAATCAAAACCAAACAAAATAGAACAAAAGAAATTCAATTATCCACAGAGAAAGCTTGAGTCCTTCTGATAACTAGTATTTATGAAGATAGAATTTTTACCTCTTATTCCCAATCAGCATTATCACCATGTTCGAGCTTGAGTGCTGGCGTGCATCTTCTAACCACGAGGTCAGGTGGTTGAAGGTTTCACGTCTACAGAACAATTTAGAATGATGGTCAGGTGCCCGTTTCAAAAAGCCAAAGTTGCTCCAAATACATGAGAAAGGGAGATTACATGTGTGCAAAACAGCAGCAGTCCCTACTCCGTGTCCTTGGCAGGAGCCACAGAGAGAGGACAGCTTTAAGGAAGTCAGGCAAGCTCCCCTCCCACACTCCAGCCGGCTCACCTTGTGATGTCATACACCAGTAGTGCTCCAGCTGCTCCCCTGTAGTAGGAACGGGTGATAGAACGGAAGGACTCTTGCCCAGCCTTTACCATCAACATGGCAATAAAAAATCCCAGTAAAACTAGGTTATTTCCAGAGAAGTGACTTGCTCACATGCCACCCTAAAACAAAAGATTTAACTAAAGAAAGAACTTGTGCTAGATTATAAGTAATAAAAGAAATGTGCCTGTCCAGGAAAGGGTCCAGGTGGGCTACTTTTCAATAAAAATGTGATTGAGATCTCAGATGGGTCAGTTATGACTCCTTATGAGACTGTCCATTAATTACCTGTTAGAGAGTCATTATCCTTAGGTCCCAGACACTCAATGCCAATAGCATGACACCAACAACCTTCACATATGTTTCTCAATATCCTTTAGAGTAAAAGTGCAAATGGGGCTGGAAACTCAATCCCAAATATGATGTTGAATACACTACATGACTTTTTCTGTTTTTTATCTATTAAAAAGGGGAAAATTAATTTAGAATGTCAATACCCTGTCCAATGGAAGGCACATTCCAAAGCAACAATGCAGAAAACCAGATACAGGCACTGAGCTTATGCTGAGTGACCTGTGGCGTTTCTCTGATAACAGCAAGAATACTTGCAAATTCCTTGCTGAGATCCTGTGGGAAATAGGAATAAGGAATAGGAAATGAGCCAGGCATGGTGGCGCACATGTAATCCCAGCACTCAGGGAGACAGAGGCAGAGGCAGGTGGATCTCTGTTAGTTGGAGGCCAGCTTGGTCTACAAAGTGAGTCTAAGACAGCCAAGGCTACACAGGGAAACCCTGTCTCAACAAACAAACAAAGAAACAAACAAACAAACAAGGAATAGGAATAGGAAATGATGTCCAGGACCTACAATAGTTTTCCTTAAAAGAATCTTGTTCAGCTGGATGGTAGTGGCACATGCTTTTAATCCCAGTACTCCAGAGGAAGAGGCAGGTGGATCTCTGAGTTTAAGGGCAGCCTGGTCTACAGAGTGAGCTCCAGGATTGCCAAGGCTACACAGACATTGTCTTAAAAAAAAAAAAAAAGACAAAGAATTCTTTTCAAAATCATCTATCATTTCTGATGGGACCAAAATAATTGGCTTTTTAATAACTGAGCAATTAATTCCCCCTATGCACTAGATACTTTTGTTTTCTACCCCTCTCCCCCAAATAGTTGTGGCCCTCCTGCTGCGCCTGTATCATCTGCCATTTGGGGGGAGGGGAGGAGGAGAAGTAGCAGCAACTTTTGTTTTTTTAATGTAATAGCTCTTCATTTTTGTTTAAGGGAACCACGGTGTCATTTAAATAAAAACACTGGGTTGGTGAGATGGTTTATGAACTACGATTGTTTACTGCTCTATGAGAGAACGGAAGTTCAGGCCGCAAAACCCATACTGGGCAGCTCACAAACACCTGTAACCCCAGCTCCTAGGATCCAAATGGCCCTCTCTGGCCTGTGTGCGCAACTCAACACACATGCACATTCATAAACAGACACAGCCTGCTGTGCTGGTGCCTGCCTCTAATACGAGTACGCATGTAGCATCCTGGTACCCAGGAGACTGAAGCAAGACAACCTGGAGTTTGAGGCCAGACTAGGCTACACAGAGAGACTGTCTCAAAAAACAAAACAACACAACACACAGAATACTTTCTGTGTTGAATCAATTCTGTTAGAAAAGTTTTCACATTGTTGGAATAATTTCTCCCCATAAAAACTGGGAAATGAAAGTTATTATCCATCTACTATCACCAGGAAAACTATGATGGAAACATGGGACCATAAATGGGTTTTTATTGCATACCACCAACTGGTAATACCACTGATACTACAATAACATAATTTTTATTTGATATTTATTTAATTTTATGGGTATGAGTGCTTTGCCTGCATGTTTGTATGTACACCGTGGGCATGTCTGGTACCTATAATGGTCAGAAGGTGGCATTGGATTCCCTGGAACTGAAGAAACAGATAGTTTTGAGCCACCATTTCGGTCCTGGGGATCAAACCTAGATCCTTTGTAAGAACAACAAGTACTCTTAACCACTGAGCCATCTCTCCAGCCCCTACAATAATATTTTTAAACTATTTTTTTTTCTAGAAGTATATTAGGAACCATGAGAAACAATCACATATATCATCTCATTTAATTCTACTAGAAGCCCTAAAGCAGACTGATATTGTTCTCCTTCAAAAATGGAGAAAATAAAGCTCAGAGGGACTTTTTGGTTTTTTTCGAGACAGGGTCTCTATGTATACAGCCTTGGCTGTCCTAGACTCACTTTGTAGACCAGGCTGGCCTCAAACACCCAGAGATCAGCTGCCTCTGCCTCCCAGAGTTCTGGGATTACAGGTGTGTACCACTCCACCAGAAGGGACAAGTTTAATAACTGACCAAAAACCATACAACAGAGCTATAATGAAAATGCAGAACCACAGTACTTCATAGCACAGAAGTGTTACAATCTAAATTGGGGGTATAAATGTGGAAAGATAGTTTACTAACTTACAGTGACTTTCTCCCCAGAGACACAACCTCTGCAGACATCACACAATTTCTTAGCCTTTTACTGGTAATTCTAGAAACACTTTTAAGATATGAAAAGCACCTTTGTCCACTAAGAACTCCATAGAGTTTTATATTTACTCTGTCATAGTACCCCTAGCTCTTCTGGGGTCCTGTTTTTGCTTTTATCTCTTACTTTTCATTATTTTCTTCTCTGCTTGAAAAGCTTCCTCCTTACTCCACATAGGGTTAGCTGGCACCCACTGGTGTACCACTACTTAGGAGGCTGAGGCATGAAGAAGGGGAATGACTGCCCAGCCTAAGCTTCACAGTGAGACACAGTCTCAAGTAAGCAAGGTGAGGGTCGGAGGAAGTAGAGGTGTAGACAACACATGGAAAGACAGTTAAAGTCTGGCTTCCAGCTCACAATCAGGAAACTTCTTCACATCAAATCTCTACTTTTTCTTCTCTATCAAATTTATAAACATTTTGGAGCCAGTATGCTAGAAAGACTGTCTAGTTCAACTTAGAAGGGTCCATAGCAATCTCAAATAAACTTCTCCATGCTCAGGTGGTAAAATGTTTGAAGCAGCAAATAACTAACATGGAGTTTTCTCGTTTTGGGTTTTATTTTGTGAAACTGGGTCTCTCTGTAGCCTTAATTAGCCTACAACTCATGATGTAGCTCAGGCCAGCCTTGAATGTAAGGTACTCCTGCTTCAACCTTTCAAGTATTGGAATACGGGTGGTGTGAATGACAATGGTAATCACAGGTTCATCTTTGAATGCTTGTTCCCCAGTTAGTAGAACTCTTTGAGAAGGATTAGGAGGTGTGGCTTTGATGGAGGAAGTGTGCCACCGGGGGCTGGCTTTGAGGTTTCAAAAGCCCACGCTAGGTCCAGTGTTCTCCTGCCTGTGGCCTGCAGATCAGGATGTAAAGCCCTAGCTACTGCTCCAGTGCCATGCCTATTTGCTTTCCACCATGATGATCACTGAGGTTACTCCTTTCCCACGGCTAAGTTCTTTTTTTTTTTTTTCATTGTCAGAAGAATCCTCAGTGTCTTCTCTTTTATTTATTTATTTTGGTTTTGTAAGACAGGGCTTCTCTGTGTAGCCTGAAACTCTCCATAGACCAGGCTGGCCTCAAATTCACAGAGATCTGCCTGCCTCTGCCTCCCTAGTGCTGGGAATAAAGGCGTGTGCTACCACTGCCCAACCAGCAAATTCTATTACTTATGAGTTTAAATGCACAGAAGTCTGAAAGTATATGCACCGAATCATTAAGAGTGTATTTCTCTGGCAGAATAGCAACAACGTGAGCTAGAAAAGGGTTTTTTTTTTATAAGCGGACATTTACCTCTTGCCACATAAACATTTATTGTTTTTTGTTTTTTTTTTAATTTTTTTACTATATTGGATAGTCTAAAACTATACTGGATAGTACAAAATTTTTTTTTGTTTTTTCTTTTTTTTTTAAGATTTATTTTACTATGTATACAATGTCCTGCCTGCATGTATACCTGAACGCCAGAAGAGAGCACCATATTTCATTATACATGGTTGTGAGCCACCATGTGGTTGCTGGGAATTGAACTCAGGACCTCTGGAAGAGCAAGCAGTGCTCTTAACCTCTGAGCCATCTCTCCAGCCCCCTTGGTTTTGTTTTTTTTTTTCAAGACTGGGTTTCTTTGTGTAGCCCTGACTGTCCTGAAACTCACTTTGTAGACCAGGCTGGGCTTAGAGTTCTACCTGGCTCCAGCTTCCCCAAAGTTGAGTCATTTAAAATTAAAAAGACATGACACTTTTTTTTTTTATCTGAATATCTCAGTATGTATTCTCTCCTGACTTGACCTTTCTTGAGCTGCTTGCCTCGTCCTACAGTTCTAAAACTGCAAGTGTATAGCATCACACATGGCTGCATTAGCTTTTACTGTTTTAACTGGGTTTTGGTCTGGCACTAAATTGTTTTGTCCTCTCTTACCGTATCCCAGATTTGTAGTTTGATTTGTTTTCCATCAATGTTGACCATACGTGCTCCAAACTCCACACCTGTCAGTGAAGGCCAAAAGAAGGAATATGACTGTCATGAACACGTACATGTTAATGTGGAGGTTCATACTTTCCCAAAGTGTAATGAATGCTTGTTTTCACTCACTGCAGTCCAATACTGGTGTTTACTGCTCCAACTGAGCTTGTGTTCCTTTTAGATTCTTTTCTAGAATTCTAAAAACCCATGGACTAGAGGATATAGCTCACTTGATACAGTACTTGCCGAGAATGAATGAAGCCCAGGATTCAATCCTCAGAACCACATGAGACAGAGCACAGGGCTGGAGAGATGGTGCAGAAGTAAGAGCAAAGCATTCATGTACTTCTTGGGACTGGAATTTGGTTCCCAAAGCCCTCATCAGCTAGTGCATAACTGCCTACAATTCCAGCTCCAAAGGATCGAATACCCTCTTCTAGACTCCATGGGCACCTGCACACTCATGCACGCACGCGCTTGGCACACACACTCCAGGACCCCTTAACTGGGCATTGCAAAGAATGTAATCCCAGCTCTCAAGAGGTAAAGGCAGTAGCATCACTAGGGTCAGAAACTCAAGGTCATCACGTACTTGTATAGCAAATTCAAGGTTGGCCTAAGTCTACTCAGGAAAAAAAAATGCACTCTACAGCTGTAGGATAACTCAGTGATATCGCAACTACTAGCACATAAGTCTCTTCATTTAATCACTTGCAACCAAAAATAAACAAGTAGATGCTAAGTGATAATTACCTAAGGGGGGGGGGGCACCCAAGTATAGATAAGGGAACAGCTAATTAAGAATAAATAAATACAAATATTCTCACTGTTATGATGTTTTTAATTTTTAATTTTTTTAAAATTTTACAGTTTATTCACTTTGTATCCCAGCGGTAGCCCTCTCCCTCATTCCCTCGCAATCCCACCTTCCCTCCCTTATCTCCTCCCATTCCCCTCTCCAAGTCCACTGATAGGGGAGGTCTTCCTCTCCTTCCATCTGACCCTAGCCTATCAGGTCTCATCAGGACTGGCTGCATTGTCTTCCTCTGCTGGTCTGATCCTAATCAGAACAAAATTTGCTATGTTAAGTCCATGAGAAGCTAGATAGATGGCTCAGTGGAAAGTGTACTTGTTGCTCCTGGAAAGGATCTGAGTTTGGTTCCCAACACTCATGACTGGTGGCTCAGATCACAACTACCTGTAACCCCAGCTCCAGGGTATTAAACAATCTCTAGCCCCGGCAGTCACCTGTACACACATATGCAAATAGACATGAATATACATACAAATAAAAAAATTTAAGGATGTATTTATTTATTATGTTTGGTGTTCTGCCTGCATGTGTGCCAGCAGGCCAGAAGAGGGCACCAGTTCTCATTATAGATGGTTATGAGCCACCATATGGCTGAGGGGAATTGAACTCAAGACCTGTGGAAGAAGAGCCAGTGCTCTTAACCTCTGAGCCATCTCTCCAGGACTGGCACCCCCCCCCCCCAATTTTTTTAAACAAATCTGAGGGGGAAAAATGTTGTCAGAGATAGTTCTTCCCTAGATCTGGTTTTACAAATTCTGGTAATAAACCAGGTTCGATTTATTATATAATCACTTGAGTTATTATAAGACCTTACAATGACTGATACTCTATCTAGATTATCTTTTATAAGCCTCAAGAAAAGTGGCAGTGCAGTTACTTGTAAAAACTGGAACATAATGTCAGAAGAATGTGTATTCACTATAAAGCAAGTTCCAGGACAGGTAGGGCTACACAGAAAATCCTTGTCTCAATGAAAAAAAAAAAAATGTGTGGTCACTGAAGGAAACCAATTCCATTAACTGAATTACAAAGCTACAATTCATAGAAAAAAAGTCTAGGAAATTGACAATTCTAGGAAAAAATAAAATCAAAATAAATTCTTAGGAATGTTAGTTTGTCTGAAATCTGACTAGGTAATTTTTTTCAAAGAACTTCTAAACAGCTTCTTCTTTTTTTAAGACTTATTTAATTTTATGCATAAAGTATTTTGCCTCCATATAAGTGTATGTGTGACACATGTGTGCCTGGTACCTGTGGAGGCCAGAAGAGGGCAAAGGATCCCTGTGGAACTGGAGTGAGAGATGGTTATGAGCTGCCATGTGGATGCTGGGAATTGAACCCTTGTCCTCTGAAAGAGCAGCCAGTGCTCTTAACTGCTGAATCAGCTCTCCAACCCCCTTAAAAGCATTTTCTCCTCTACTTCCCACCCCCATGCTCAATCCAGCTACTATCGATCCCTTGAAAGCATTTCTTGACAGTGTCTCAAAGTGTCTAGAAGTTCTGTGTGTGAAGCAGCATTTCTTTACTGCAATTCTGAAACTAGTTTCATTTGCAATTAAGGAAGCTGCCTAAGAAACAGGCTTTAAGGACAAAATATCTTGAACCACCAGCAAGTCCTAGAATGCACTGGAAATAGCCTCCTCAAAGCAGTATGTAGAAACTGGCAAAATGATATGGCTTTTGGCATTTTTCTATTTGAAGGTAAAATGCATCTCTTTCAAGGACAATACTTCAAAAACAATCATTTTAAAAACACTGCTCCATAGCTGGGAGTGCCATGCACTCGCCTTTGATCCCAGCACTCTGGGAGACAGAGGCAGGCAGATCTCTGAGTTTGAGGCCAGCCTGGTCTACAAAGTGAGTCCAGGACAGCCAAGGCTACACAGAGAAATCCCGTCTCAAAAAGCCAAAACCAAACAAACCAACCAAACAAACAAAAAACTACTGCATTATAAGCAGATAATTCATCCACTTTTCTATCTTCATACAGTATTTTGCACATAGCATGAGGAATTCAGATTTCTAAGAAATATTATTGATATAGTATGCTATAGTCTAAATTTGGTCATCCTATGTAAATATACTCCCTATGTAAAAAATATTTCTACTTTAAGGTGCTACAATCTATAAACAAAGATAAAAAAATGTCTTCTGAATACCTGTTACCTCAGCAAATATCTAAAGGAACTTTTTGAAAAAAAAAAAATCAGTCAAGTTTTCTTTCTTTCAGAACAGTAAGAATGTCATTTCAACGAGCAAGAAACCAAAAAGAACAGGTTGAGCAGAGTGATGCACAACTAATCCCAGCATTTAGGAGGTGGAGGCGGGAAGACCAAAACTTGTTCAAGGTTATTGTCAGGGTACACGTGGAATTCACAAAAACAAACCTTTAAAGCCTGAGTGATGGTACATGCCTGCACTCCCAGTACTTAGAGGCTGAGGCAGGAGGATCTCTGGGACGTCATGGCCGGTGCAAATTACAGAGGCTACCTCAAATAGGAGAAAAAGGTGAAGAGGGAAAGGGAGGTGAAGGAGGAAAGACGGGGATGGCTCTTACATTGGCCTTTTTCTCTCCAACACACACACACAAATCATACGTCCGTGTTTACTTTGCAACGTGTGAGGCTGGTAGTCAGGTTTCCGTGGAATTTTCAAGAAGCATACAAGTTACATTTGAAGTAAAAAGAATTCTACTGCAACTAGTGTTTATCTTACATCCATCTCCAAAGTCACTTTTCCATTATTTACCCTCTATTTACCAGCCTTTACCATTTTTCATATACCATGATTTCAGACTGAGGCCCTGAGAAGTAACTTTCCACTCAGAATGCTGAGGTTGTTAACTCTGTCCTTCAGCAGTTCGCCAGCTACCTCTTAGGTGTTCCGGAACGAGGGGATGCGCTTACCTATTGTAAGGTCGTGCACAGGCTGGAACCTCTTGTCGGTGAACTGGAGGAGGAGACATGACTTCCCAACACCTGAAAAAGGACGGCGTGTGTGCACTACATGCACGCCACCGGGGAGGCAGCTGGCTCCTAGGCCGGGCCCAGGGTCTAAGGAAGGGGCAGAGCCCCGCCCCCGGGGCTCGCCCCGCCCCCTCGCGCAACTCCGCTCGCCCGGCCCACTCGCCCCGCCCCGCCCCGCCCCGCCCCGGGCCGATTTTGGAGGTGGGATCCCCGCCCAAGGCCCGAAGGCAGTCCACCGGTGGATTACCTGTGTCTCCGATGATGATGTACTTGAAGAGATAAGCGTAAGTCATGGTCCCGAGGCGTCTGTGTTCCGGGTCCGCCCGATTTCTACAGCCACTTACCTCCGACCTCTCTAGCCACTCAAGCTACCGATCTCCTGATTTGCCTCCGCTCCAGCCCTTCTAGCTCTGGCCTCGTCTCTATTGCTCTCCCCAGAAATCCTCCCTGGCTCCGGAGTACCCGACACCGCCTCTAGGGCCGCCCCTCGCTCTTCTCCATGCCATTATCCCACCAAGCTCCAGGGGGCGACCGCGAGCCTTCGGGGAGCTCGGATCGCGACTGGTTGCGGCCAGGACTCCGTCCAATCAGCGGAGAGCGACGCTCCTTCTTGAGGAAGTGACGCGCTCGGAACTCATTGGGGGCGGTGGGAGCGATGCGGACGCTGAGACGCTGGTAGTGGCCCTGTGAAGATGGAGGTAGGCGCCGGCTCTGGAGGGTTGACGGGGGAGCGCGGCCGACTGGGTGGAAGCAGAAGCGGGGGTGCATGGCAGGGAGGAGCGAGGGGCCCCGGGGAGGGCTTGGAGGCCGGGGGTCTCAGCGCGCCACTGCTCCGCTCACTTATCCTCTGTGTTTTCTTTTTGGTTTACAGTTTCCCGGAGGAAATGACAATTACTTGACGATCACTGGGCCCTCGCACCCCTTCCTGTCAGGGGCCGAGGTGAGCGAGAGCTGCTGACGCTGGGGCGACGTTGGGCCTAGGCAGCGGTTGGAGCAGGACGGTGGGGGAGGGCGGGAGCTGGGGAGGACGGTGGCCGAAGCTTCGAGCGTCTCTAAAGGACTGTCGGGAGTTGAAGGGGGAGGATGGAGAACGGGAAGCGGCTGTCATCAGAAAACCAGGATGCGGAAAAGGCGGTCTATTTAAGGAAAGAGTTCTGTTCTGTATGGGAAGAACGAGTGGGATTGTCTCCTTTGGTTGGTGAAATAACTGCAGTAGTCTTGGGAGGCACCGAGAAAAGTTTTTTTCAGTAAAGAAGTTGAGATTAAAAAAAAAAAAAAGTAGCTTATCTATCAGGGGTTAACTTCGGACAGGCGTTAATTCTTGAACTCTGTAGCGGCTACGTTCATTGACATTTCTTCTCTGGTTACTTTTACCAATGTGGCTTCTGCTTGCTTTGCTAACGAAGGACAAAGGGAAAGAAATAGCTGCCAGAGAATGTAAAAGGAGCAGAATGCACCTGTTGCCAGTGGTTACAAACTGAGCAGATTACTTCACCTTTAGATCACGGTTGTCAAAAACAACTATAATAATAGGGTTTGTTAATTTTGTTTTACCTTTTGGAGATGGTGTAAGGAAGAAATAATGGTTGTTGGAAGGCTTAAGGCCTTTAACAAGGTCGCCTAAAAACATTGGAAAACACATGTTTACATTGTGATTCATAACAGCAAAATTACAGTTCTGAAGAAGCAAAAAAATAACAACTTCATGACTGGGATCACCCCAACATAAGAAACTGTATTGAAGGGTTGCAGGCAGTGTTAGGAAGGCTGAGAATCACATACTCTGGAATACTTTTGGTTGATAGATTTTCCTACTATAAGCATAACATTTACTTAGGCCAAGCAAAAGTGAAAGGTGCAGTGTATGAAAATTACCTAGTTTTTGAGATCTTGAGTCCTGGGCCTTCTTTTGAGGTTTATATACTTTCCCCCCAAAAAAGTGGTGTGAATCACTTGCATGTTTTTGTTTTTGCACTAAAAGTAGTTATTAATTGCTGTTGTGTTGGTTTGTCCTAAAATAAATCCTAACATTTTTATGGTTGAGATATAGATTGACAGTGAGTGGTTGTTAGCTTGCTTTTTTGTTGTTGTTTTGTTTTTAACATGGTCTCATGTAGCTCTGGCTGTCCTGTAATTCACTATGTAGATCCATCTGCCTTTGCCTTTACGAGTACTGGGATCAAAGGTATGTGCCACCACTCTCGGCTGCTAGTTTATTTTTTATTTTATTGCATATTCTCCTAAGCATAGGGAAGTGTGACTCAAATGAGTGGCAAAATTAGAAAGAAAATTCAATCTTGCACTTGGTGATTTTATCCCGAGTTCCTTCCAAGTGAGGTCTCCATGGTCTAATTTCATTGTTTGGCGTGCTGTAAGTCTCACATTGCCCTTATTTATAGTAAAGTTCATTTTAAAAATAAATACAAGGCTAGATGTGGTGTTGCACACCTTTAATCCCAGCACATGGGAGAGAGAAGCAAGTGAGTCTCTTTGAGTTCCAGAGCTACATAGAAAGACCCCCGTCTCAAAAAATAAATGGGAACAACTTTCACATTTATCCCACCAGTCTCTTATGAAATTGAACAGTCAAAAGCTAACTACATGAGAGATGGCACTTTTTCTGTCCAGGGACTGTGACTAGGTGGTGGAGCAGACCCTTGATCTCTAGCATAAGGATTCTAGGATTTCTTGATTCTAGAAAAAGGAAAAAGTTTTCCAGGCTTGGCTTCTTTGTTTTAATGGCTGATGATATTTTTACTGAGAAGAGGGAATACACAGCTATGTTTAAGCTCAATTTCAGTAGCTTCCTTTAGACCTGGGAGCGCTGTTATTGTTTCTATACAAGGTCTGCACTTTGTTTCTTCCATTCTGGGTGAAGTTTTAACCGTTATGTTTATGTTTGTTTGGTTTCGGGGGATGATTTCACCGTATAGTGATGGATGGCGGCAAACTTGCTGTGCGACCAGGCTGGCTTTCATTTGCCTCTGCTTCCTGAGTTCTAGGATTAAAAGTGTGTACCCTGGCTTTTAACCTTTATGCTAATGGATGTATGGGTTTTGTTGTGTCTGCTCTTATTTTGAGCCATCACAGATAACTTATAAGTAGGTGAAGTATTTTTTTTAAAGCAATTCTTTTCCAAGAACGGTAATTTTTCTAGTTGATTTGGTTTTTGTTTTGTTTGTCAAAAAGAACAATAGCTGTTGGGTGGTGGTGGCACATCCTCTAATCCTGGGAGGCAGAGGCAGGACAGTCTCTGTGAAGTCTAAGCTAACCTGGTCTACAGAGCAAGTTACAGGACAGCCAGAGTACACAGAGAGACCCTATCTCGAGAAAACTACAACAAAACAACAGCTGCCCTATGTACTAACCATAAAATAACTGAAAATTTTGACTGGTCAAGTTAGGAACTTCTTTATATCAAAATTCATCATTATAGGGACTGGAGAACTTTTACGTGTATGGGTGTTGTGCCTGCATATATGTCTATATGGCACATGCCTGGTACCCACTGGAGGTCAGTAGAGGGCATGAGATCCCCTGGGTCTGGATTTATACATGGTTGTGAGCCACCATGTGGGAATGGAACCTACATCCTCTGAAAGAGTAGCAAGTGCTCCTAACCACTGACATCTTTCTGGCTCTAATAAAGTATTTTTAAAATATATGGGTCAATTTTAGAGTTTTTGCTTACTGTGTAGAAGGCTCTGGGTTCAATCCTCCAGGCAAAGGAAAGAGGATAGAGAAGCACAGGGAGAGAGGATGAGAAGAGGGGGAAATGGTAGTTTTCATGTTGTTTGTCTATGAGTGCATGCAGAAGACAGAAGGCATTTGATCTCCTGGAGCTGGAGTGAGAAGTGGTCATGGGCCACCAGAGTGGGCGCTGAAAACTGAGCCTGGGTCTTTTGCAAGGACAGCAAATGTTAATTGCTGAGTCGTCTTTCCTGCCCCATTTCAGTCAGTATTTAAGCACCCTTTATTTTTAGTTTTAATTGCATTTTATTTACTACATATCTGTTCTCCCACACACACCTGCCCTGAAGGGGATTGGGAAGTGAAGAGTAAGTTCTCTCCACCACCATGTGGGACCTAGGGATTGAAAACTCAAGTTGTTAGTTGGGCGTGGACCTTATCCACTGAGCCGATTCACTAGCTCCTAGTGATTCCTTATAATCCACAAACTGGCCTTTCTCTCAAAAAAGCCCAGGGCCTAGGAACAGTTTAGATTAGTTGTTTTGCCTCTGGAGTGCTATGATTAAAGGTGTGTGCTGCCACAGCCAGCTTGTTTTGGACATTTTGTTATTGAGGTTTGTTTTGTTTTTGTTTTCTGAGAAAAAATGACTTTGTACTAACTCTATAGCCCATCCTGTTCTGAAACTTATGATAACCTTCCAGTCTTTTGCATGTTGTGATTATATGTGCACCACTGTTCAGGCTTTAATCTCCGTTTTTATAGATAAGGAAAACTTGCTCAAGGTCATATGAGCTGAGATAAGCCACGTTCTCTCTACAAAGCCTCTTGCTTATTACTTACAATACTGTATTGCTCCCAAATGCTTCTATTTTAGTTTTTTAGTGCCACAAGGAAAGTGCCACATATGTCTTAGGTTAGACATTGCTGTTACTTCTATGAATAGTGACCCCATTCAGAATAGGAGTGAAGCTGGGTGTGGTGGAACATGCTTGTAATTCCAGCAGTAAAGAGACTTGTCATTTTGAGACCAGGTCTTTAAAAGGAAAAAAGGCTGGGTATTATGAAACATGCCATTAATTTCAGCACTTGGGGAGGCAGAGGCAGGTGGATCTCTATGAATCTGAGGCCATCCTGGCCTACACAGTGAGTTCCAAGATGGCCAAGGTTATTACACAGAGAAACCTTGTCGGAGAATTGGTTTGGTGCTATGTGCTGAATTCTGGGTACCAAAATCTGGTTTTAGTCTGGATTGTTACATACATTGATAAGTATTGTGTAAACTTTACCCTCAGTTATCTCTAATTGGTTAATGAAAAAGCTTAACAGCCTGTAGCTGAGCACAAGAGGGGTAGGTGGAACTTCAATTCCCCATCTTGGGGGTGTGGAGAGAGGAAGAAGAAGTGGAGAAAGGACATGGTGATTAAGAATTGACCTGATGGCTGGGCAATAATGTCAAGAGCCTATAATCCCAGCACTCTGGAGGCAGAGGCAGATGGATCTCTTTGAGTTCAAGGTCATTCTGGTCTATGGAGTGAGTCCAGGACAGCCAGAGCTAGAACACAGAAACTGTCTTGAAAAACAAACAAACAAATAAGAATTGATCTGATAGACCAGAAACAGCTCAGGCAAGACCAGTGTGGCAAGTAAGTGAGGGCACATGGCTGGAAAACAAGACTAGCATAGAGGATTAGTATAAATGGATATCTGCCCACTTATTAGTAAGCTTTAAGCACCAGACCAACCTCCAACAAGGTTTCTCTGTGTTGTTTACTTGGGAGTTAAGAGGAGGTGATTAGAAAAGCTTTCTAAAATATAAATTATACTTTAAAAACCTTGTGTGAAAAACTAATAAACAAATAAATAAACAAGATTAAATAAATGAAAGGAGAGGGCAGGGAAGAGAAAAAAAAGAAGCACAAAAACCAGAAAGACTGAATTATAGTCTGATTTAGGAAGGGATTGAGTCTTTGCCAGGTACACTAATCTTTTTCTCCTTTAGTTTACTTTTTATTTTTTTAGGCAGTGTCTTGCTGTATAAGCTGTGCTGGCCTCAAATTCACTTTGCAGCTATTAACTATCCTTTTGTTATTGTTATTATTGGGTCCTAAAATCATGTACAAATAAGAATCTTAGTTGTTGCTAATACTGAAATTTCTAAAATGCAGAGATCCTAAGAAACTCTTTAAGTGCAAATATTTTAGAGGGAGGTAAGTTTTCCATGGCAGTATCTTTTAGGATTTGCTCCAGAGGAACGGAAAAAAGCAATGTGTGATTGCGTGGTCAACAGTGAATTTCTATGGTCTGAAAATTCAGGTGTAACCGTTGAGAAATAACTGGTGTCTGTTGGTATCTGTAGTGCATATTAAGCAGTGTCAGCTGTTTCCTTATTTGTGTTGACTTTTTAGAACAGGAGAAATAATTTAAGAAAAGATAGTAAAGGTTGAAAAGAGCCAGGCACTCTCCCTACTAATTCTTCCCCCCTTTTTCCATATAGACCTTCCATACACCAAGCTTGGGCGATGAGGAATTTGAAATCCCTCCTATCTCCTTGGACTCTGATCCCTCACTGGCTGTCTCAGATGTGGTTGGGCACTTTGATGACCTGGCAGACCCCTCCTCTTCACAGGATGGCAGCTTTTCAGCTCAATATGGGGTCCAGACATTGGACATGCCAGTGGGCATGACCCATGGCTTGATGGAGCAAGGCGGGGGCCTCCTGAGTGGGGGCTTGACTATGGTAAGAAGTGACATAGTTGTAGGCCCACCCATGCCCATAGGAATGGTTTAAGGAGAACACAAGCCCTCTATTCCCTGCTAAACTTGGGTAGTACTTGTATTCTGTTCTTAGAGCTAAAGATTCAACAAGGACTTCATTTTGCCTGAATGAGATTTCCCTGAAAAAATAATTTTAGATTGTAAAATATCCAGTGTTAACTTGAATATTTTGAAATGAAAATGATTCATATTTTTAAAAAGGGTTTTGTTTTTTGTAATAGCCTTCATATTCTGGTATCCAGGTATTTAAGTGGTACGTTGAGTGACTAATTAAAAAAATTGGCTGGGTCAAATACAGTAGTAATTGTAGACTCAGCTGTTAGAGGTGTTTAGGGTTTCCAGCACATTGTCAAACTAGTATCCTACAAATATAAGTGGGTCTAGCTTGCATGTTGTCATACCTACAGACTATACAAAATAAATTTTGTCCTTTTCTGTGTTTGAGTCAGGGTCTCACTATGTGGTCCCAACTGACTTAGAACTCACATATGTAGATCAGGATGGCCTCAAATGCAGATTCCACCACCAGCTTCTGCCTTCCTTAGTGTTGCAGTTAAGGGCAGGTGCCACCATGCCTGGCCTCCTAACATGTGTTTTATGTAGACAGATTGTCTGACATTCTGTAGGACTTAAATGATGATAGTCTACGTGAGCCAAGGATTTATAAGGAGCAGACATGGAACTTAATATTTAGTGTTTAATCAGTCTTTCTTGCTTCTCTCAGGACCTGGACCATTCTATAGGAACTCAGTATAGTGCCAACCCACCTGTTACAATTGATGTACCAATGACAGACATGACATCTGGCTTAATAGGACACAGCCAGTTGACCACTATTGATCAATCAGAACTGAGTTCTCAACTTGGTTTGAGTTTAGGGGGTGGCACTATCTTGCCACCAGCCCAGTCACCTGAGGATCGTCTTTCAACTACTCCTTCACCTACGAATTCACTTCATGAAGATGGTGTTGATGATTTCCGGAGGGTGAGGCATTCTCTGTCAGTCAATTCTACTGTTATTCTAGAGTAAAATGCTTATTGGATAAAGCCTAATCACCTTTATTTACTTGGTTGTTCTCAATCACTGTTCTTAGTGTCCTCCCATATGGCTTTCAAAACCATTGCTTCCATTTTTAGCTTAAATGCAATGTCTGTGGCTACTTTCCCTCCTTAACTGCTGAGCCATCTCTCCAACTTAGTTTTGCTCCCATCAAAACCTTTCACTGAAAGTTCTCCCGACCCAGTACTTCCCTTCTTCCATCTTTTAATTCTCTCCATTTTTCTCCCTGACAGCAACTTCCCAGCCAGAAGACAATGGTAGTGGAAACAGGGAAAAAGCAAAAGGCTCCCAAGAAGAGAAAAAAGAAAGACCCTAATGAACCTCAGAAGCCAGTCTCTGCATATGCATTATTCTTCCGTGATACTCAGGCTGCCATCAAGGGACAGAACCCCAATGCCACCTTTGGTGAGGTGTCGAAGATTGTGGCTTCCATGTGGGACAGTCTTGGAGAAGAGCAAAAACAGGTAAATAGAGGGTAGTGAACATTTTCTAAGTTTTTAGGTGGACATAATCTCAGTCAGTGTTCTATTGCTGTGAAGGACAACAGGACCAAGGCAGCTCTTTATAAAAGAAAGCATTTAATTGGGGCTTGCTTACAGTTTCAAAGGTTTGATTACTCCATTATCATCATGGAGTGTGGCAGCACACAGGCAGAGATGATGTTGGAAAAGTAGCTCAGAGGTTTATATCCAGATATTCAGGCAGCAGTACCATAGAGAGATACCGGGCCTGGCTTGGCTTTTGAAACCTCAAAGCCCACTGTGACAGTCCCTCCAACAAGACTGCACCTCCTAGTCCTCAAGCAGTTCCTGGTGACCAAACATTCAAACATATTATGACCCTGTGGGGGCCATTCTTAGTCAAACCACTACACATCTTTACCTGCTAGCTCTTCCATAATGGTATTCACACATTTGTTTGTTTTCAAGACAAGTTTTCTCTGTGTAGCCCTGGTTGTCCTGGAACTCAATTTATAGACCAGGCTAGCTTTGAACTCAGAGAGATCTGCCTGCCTGTGCCTCCCTGACTGCTGGATCTTAGAAGTTTTAGGAAAAAAAATAATTTTAATTATTTTTATTGAGTTGGGTAGCAAACCCAAAGCTTAATACATGCTAAGTGTATACTGTCCTACTGAGCTAAATCTCTAACCAAAAAAATCCATTACCAAACTATAAATGGAACTGCAAAATGGCTCATTAGGTAAAAGTCACATTCCTCATGGTGAAAGGGAAAGAGCAAGTTTCAACTTCTCTAATCTCTACATGCACAGCCGAAAACATACACATGTACACACAAAATAAATGACAAATTTTGTTACGAAAACTGCTTCTTTCCTAAGCTGTAAAATGACCACCATTCTCCTCTTACTAGAGGCGGATTCTGCCAGGTGCAGTGGCACACTCCTTTAATCCCAGACCCTGGGAGGCAGAGGCAGGTGGATTTTTTGTGTTTGAGGCTAGCCTGGTCTACAAAGTGAATTCTAGGAAAGCTAGGGCTGTTAAACAGAAGCCCTGTATAAAAAACAAACAATGACAAAAAAATGATCCAAAGGTGTACTCTGAGGTTCTCTGCCCACTTAAGTTCATACAGCTTCTACATGATAGGGTTGGGACAGTTTAGTGTACTTAATTTGAAATTCCATGTGACGTCAGCAATAGGGCCTCATCCCTCTTGTGTGACATAAGTAATAGTGCCTAATTCCTCTTATATCTTCAACTGTTTAGTATTTAGATTAACTTTCCAAAGCTTTGTGTTTTTCCTATTTGTAAAGTTAAGCTATTTCTTGGTAAGTTGCATGTTGAAGCTATCCCCCAAAGTTTCAGTTACGGTTTCATGAATGGTCTTCTCATCAAGTGTACGCTTGAAAAGTATAGTCTTTAAATTTAAACTAAATTTAAAAATCAACTGGTAATAGTGGTATGTGTATGTAGTCCCAGCTACTCTGGGGGAGGGGAGGGCAGGATACCTTGGTCCTAGTTATTTGGGGCCAACAACATACTGAGACTCACATACTATGTTTTAGGAAAAAGCAGCTGACATGGTAGCATACTCCTGTAGTTCTAGCACTTGGGAGGTCGAGGCAGAGGATAAGGAGTTTGAAGGGAGTGTGTGTGTTAGGGGGGTGGAGGGTATGAGTCACCACAGCATGAAGATAGCTGCAGTTATCATTATCCTACGTGCCTAAATCTTCTATCCAGGCAAATCGTCAATATCTAAAACAAAGCCGAATTTGTTATTGTAACATGTCTTAATTGTATGTTGCTGCTTTAATTCTCATCCTATTGGGTTAGTTTGGTGTTTCTGCTGTTCTTGCCTGGGCTTCTTACTGATGTAACCTAATGATAGGATATGGCTGGCTAGAGCTGGCAGTTATTTCCATCTGTTAGTTGGTGTGTTGTTGGCTTCTCCATATAGCCTCTCATGTGTTTTTTGTTTGTTTTATTTTTCAAGACAGGGTTTCTCTGTATAGCCCTAGCTGTCCTGGAACTGACTTTGTAGACCAGGCTTGCCTCGAACTCACAAAGAACAAAGTGTTCTACCTCTGAGTGCTGGAATTAAAGGTGCATGCCACCACAGCCAGCATCCACTCATGTTTTAAGTAGTATGGTAAATTCTAATATTCAAACAAGTCATAGAGATAGCTTAGATTCAAGAGAGGAGAAAATAGCCTTCAGCTTTGGGTGGGACAAGGGGCACACAAGAGGTAACGACTGGGTCATCTTTGACAACCTAACACATTTCTTAAGGGAAAAGTTTCTGAGTTGGGCAGTATTGAGCTAGGTAAACTAATGATCTTATAATTTGGAGGTGGTTTTATTTTTTTATATAGCAATGAGCATAGGCTGCAATTCACCTCAGTGATTTCACTGAAAGGAGTGGTCCATGAATGGTTGGACAGAGTTCCACAATAGATTTATCCTAGGAGTATGATTCATTTGCAACATCTTTCCTGTAGGTGTACAAGCGGAAAACTGAAGCTGCCAAGAAAGAGTATCTCAAGGCGCTAGCTGCTTATAAAGACAACCAGGAGTGTCAGGTAAGATTACAAAAAATAGATGCCTTAAACCACTTGTTTTTGTCATAGGTAAATCACATACATGCATGCACACAACAAAAACAAAACAAAAAAAACCAAACTGGGGAATTATCTCAGCAATTAAAAGCACTGGCTGTCCTTGGGAAGGACCTAAGTTCTGTTCTCAGCCCTCATATGGTGGCTTAGGACTATCTGGCTTAAGATCCAGTGCCCTTATGACCTTTTAAGGCATACATCTATCTGTGCAGGTAAACAAACATACACACAGAAAAACAAAACCTGTTGAACCTACTATTACAAAGTGTTAAAATATATTTAGTGCTTCCTCAGTTTTCATATTATAAGCTTTATAAATAGTCTGAGCTTATCCATTATTTCCAATATCTACTTAAGAAAGTACTGATTGCTGGGTGGTGGTGGTAGCTCATGCCTTTAATCCCAGCTTTCAGGGGGCAGAGGAAGGCAGATCTCTTGAGTTCAAGGCCAGCCTGTGAGTTCCAGGACAGCTAAGACTATACAGAGAAACTCTTCTCAAAAGAATTTAAAAAAAAAAAATCCTTATTTTTCTATGAGAGCTTTCCTTGGTGTCTTAAGGTTAAATGTGTGTTACAGTGCAGAGTAAATTACTTGTTCCTTTTTGTTTCGGTCTTTTCTAGGCTACTGTGGAAACAGTGGAATTAGATCCCATGCCACAGTCACAGACTCCTTCACCACCTCCTGTGACTACTGTGGACCCAGCATCTCCAGCACCAGCCTCAACGGAGTCCCCTGCTTTGTCCCCTTGCATTGTGGTTAATTCCACACTCTCGTCTTACGTGGCAAACCAGGCATCTTCTGGGGCTGGGGGTCAGCCCAACATTACCAAGTTGATCATTACCAAACAGATGTTGCCCTCTTCTATTACCATGTCTCAGGGAGGAATGGTTACTGTTATCCCAGCCACAGTGGTCACCTCCCGTGGGCTCCAACTAGGCCAAACAAGTACAGCTACTATTCAGCCCAGTCAGCAGGCCCAGATTGTCACTCGGTCAGTGTTGCAGGCAGCAGCAGCTGCTGCTGCTTCTATGCAGTTGCCTCCACCCCGACTACAGCCTCCTCCATTGCAACAGATGCCTCAGCCCCCAACTCAACAGCAAGTCACCATTCTGCAGCAACCTCCTCCACTTCAGGCCATGCAACAACCTCCACCTCAGAAAGTTAGAATCAACTTACAACAGCAGCCACCTCCTCTGCAGAGCAAGATTGTGCCTCCACCCACTCTGAAAATACAGACTACCCTGGTCCCCCCAACTGTAGAAAACAGTCCTGAGCAGCCTATGAACAGCAGCCCTGAGGCCCACACAGTAGAAGCAACCTCTCCTGAGACAATCTGTGAAATGATCACAGATGTAGTTCCTGAGGTAAGACTGTATTTTGTTTTCCTCTGAAACAAATAACAAAAACCTCAGTTGTGCCAGTTGGGGTTTTTTTGTTTGTTTGTTTTCATTTTTGAGACAGGGTCTTAACACAGGCCAGAGTATATGGATTCACTGTGTAGCCAAAGATAGCCTTGAACTTGGGTTTTCCTGCCTCTGCATGCCACCTTCACTTTATAACAAGTTATTTTAAAATAAAATTCTTAGTCAACATGTCATTCTGCTTAGCAGAGCTGTAAAGCATGGTATAAAGGTGAACAAGAACTCCCTTTTCTGCAACTCCTTATATGAAGGATTATGGTACCTGTTTCTCTACTGGTATGGGCAGTGTTTTGACAGGTAGGTATCAGTCTAATCCATCCTTATGCTCCGTGTCCTAAGGTCGAGTCTCCTTCTCAGATGGATGTGGAACTGGTGAGTGGATCCCCTGTGACACTGTCACCTCAGCCTCGATGTGTGAGGTCTGGTTGTGAGAACCCTCCTGTTATCAGTAAGGACTGGGACAACGAATACTGCAGCAATGAGTGTGTGGTGAAGCACTGCAGGTGAGCTTAACAGTTCTCCTAACTGAATTATTAGTGAAGTTAATTGTTAACTTGGTATCCTTCATTATGTCATCAGTATGACCTTAGGTAGAGGCGCTTGATATAAATGGGTAGGTGGGTGGATAGGTGGAAAGATTTATGATTTGAGATGTTAGTAGAAAAAAAAGAAAAAAAAAACCTTTGTTCAGTTGCTTAGGGATGCAGATGCGGCTCAGTTGAAGATTGTTTGCCTGGCATGAATAAGGAACTAATTTCAGTTACTAGTCACCTGCCAGAGAAATTGGTGAGGGGATAAGTAAGGGCAAAGTAGCAGAGTAAATGCTAAATGTGCGGTGATTAGTAAGTGAAAACTTTGGCCTTCTACCAAAATATTCCAGAGAATTACCTCTATCTGAAATGCCATGTGTGTCCTCTACAAGATAGATTAGCATTGTCACTATTCCTGACTTCTAGGCTATTTGATGATGACATTATACTTTGGATCTGTAAGGAGTTTATCTGTTTTTGCTGTAATAAGTTTATTGTATCTTTCTCATAGGGATGTATTCTTGGCCTGGGTGGCCTCTAGAAATCCGAACTCTGTGGTGTTTGTGAAGTAGCCTTCCTCTTCTCCAAGCCTTGAAGATTCATCTGCCGGACACGAGTCCAAAAGCCTGTTTTTGAAACACAAGCTGGGCTTCTGGTAGTGCCTGACCTTTACCCGTGCCCCCACCTCCCTTTTCTTTCTTCAGGAGAGGCCAGACTATGTAGCAGGGCCAGCGAGTTTACTGTAATTTAGAATTGCTTTTTATTCTCAACTGTAAACAAAATTACCAGGTTGATAGCACAGGAAAGGGTGATGGGAATATGGAAGCAAATCATAGGAGGTTATTAGAAGAAATGTGTCGGTAAAATTGCCAGGGGACTTGCCTAAGATGTTATTGGGAGAGTGCTTAGCTTGCTCCTAGGAAGAAACAGCACTGGGATGAGAGTGGTAAAATACATTGGTTTAAGTCCCAAATTAAAGAGGAATGGAAATACTGATTTAAAGAAAAATATACCCCCTTTGAAAGGGACTTGGTTATGACTTATCACAAAGGAAGCGGAGTTCAGTCTCCAGGCAGGAAGATAAGGAGTTCTTGGCCCACCAGTGAGTTTAAGGGCAGTCTAGGAAATATGAGGTTAAAGTCTTGCAGAACATGGTAGACTATGCCTTTAATCCCAGTATTTTGGAGAATATCTGAGTTAAAAGCCAATCTGAATTTACAAAGTAGATTTTGTCTCAAAAAACCAGGCTGGGTGTGGTGGCACGCTCCTTTAATCCCAGAACTTGGGAGGCAAAAGGTGGGTTGGATCTCTGAGCTTGAAGCTACTAGCTAGTGTTATATAGTGAGATCCTGTCTTAAGGTCCCTGCCCCTGACCCACTGACCCCTCCCCCTCCTCTCTCACCTCTGTTTCTGTCTCAGCACACTGGGCTGGAGGAAAATTACATCATCCAGGACTATCTTCTTTTCCTCTACAAGTATTATTTCAGTCAAAACTTTCTTTGCCTGACTTGGTTACCAGTTTTGCATGTAAGAAGCAGAACTCTATATACCCCTAATGAGAGGTTTTACAAAGTAAAGAAGTTGTGTTTGGTGAAACGTCTTTTAAATGTGCATTCATTTACATAATGCATAGGCCAATTCTTTTATATTCTCAGCTTTTCTTTAGCTGAAGATATATTGTTTTTTTGTTTTGTTTTTTTCTGAGAAATAAGCTACAGAATAATAAACCACCAAAGCCACATAGAATAAGCAAAACTTTAGAGCATGGTGAAACTCAAGAACACATGCTTGTGTCAAAGCCAGAATTTCACCTCAGAAATCCCAATTATAATACAAACGTTTATTTAAATACGGGGTGGAGGACAGTATCGAAATAGTAACACTCCTCTTAAGGTGTGGCCAATAGAGCCATTGCTCTGAATGCTTAGCTTTATAAGGAAGTGCTTCTACAAGTTCTTAGGTTTAGAGATGATACCATCCGGATACCTTTGCTTAAACCGGGCAACCACATCTGGGTCTAGTAGGTGTATCCCATCCAGTTGATTTCCAAGAGTAATCCTAAAACAAGGGGAAAAGAAGAGGTAAGCCTACTGTTAAAATATTTACACACTCTATTTTCTGGTACCTCCTGTCATCAGATGGTCATGCCAGGTTTCTTTAGGCTCAGGGTCTCACTTGCCCTGCCTGTCCTGGAACTCTCTATGTAGACTGGCTAACTTTCAACTCACACAGATCTGTCTACCCCTGCCTTCCAAGTTCTGGGGCTAAAGGTGTGCTCCACTATGCCCAGCCCATGTCAGTTTTTCATAAACAGCTTAACAAATTATTTGGCCGTGTTACTACTGGTACAGATGCAGATATTAAAACTGGCTGGACTTTCTTTCTTTCTTTGGTGGTAATGGTACTGAGGGCTGAAGCTAGAGGTCTTATATATATGCTGTAACATGCAGCTGTACCACCCCACCCCTTTTAGAGACAAATTAAATTCACTATATTAAATTTCACTGAATTAAATTCATTATATGGCCTAGGCAGACCTTAAGCTTGCAAAGGATCCTGCTGGATCTGTATATCTAAGGATTAGTAACTGATGTTAGCCAGGCCTATTTCATTCGTAGTCATTGCCAGTAAATAATCCTTGGATAACCTAAATGTTGTCGATTCCAGTAAAATGACCTAAACATAAACTTAAGCCATCTGAGTTCTTTAAAGCCCATTTGTGGACTACCAGAAATATATACAAGTCATTGACTTCTGTGTTTGATTATAAAGTTTTGTTCTTAGGGGCTGGCCTGTTCTCTAGTAATGTTACCAGTTGGGTTGCACGTTGTGTGGTCGTCCAAATAACTCAATCTTGCGGGTGCCAGGGGACAATCTCTCAATCATGCCATATATTTCATCTGGTTTATGACTGGTAGAACGAACCTAGAAAACAAAAACTCAAGCTACTTATTCAAGATTATGGTACTGCAGAGATGGCTCAGCAGTTACAGTTGCTCTTCCAGGGGACCTGGGTTCGATTCCCAGCACCCACATGACAACTCACAACTGTCTTTAACTCCAGTTCCAAGGGATCCAACCCTCACACAGACACAAATCCAGGCAAAATACCGATGCATATGAAATAAAATAAAATTTTAACAAGACTGGAATTCTAGCCCTGTCTATGATATCCAAATGAGAAAGAAATTGGAGACTATACCTGACAGGAGTAATTGTACTGAAAATATGAAAGCTTTAGATGCCTGGGGGACACATACCTCAGCTACAATCACATCGCAATCCAGACCCTGGTTGAAGCCTTGGGGGTTTCCTTTGACACCAACCTGCTCAATCCAGAGAACACTGTTACTTTATGAAACCAGTTTCCAAACTTTGAAACAGCTCCTCCTAAGTTGGACCTATTGGTAAGGGACACTCACCAAGCAGTGTTCCTTCCCATGGTTCAACCAGTGGCCTGTTCGCCCTGTCCTAATGATGCGCTGCAACTGATTTGTCTTCACCCAGATAATTTCATCCACCCGTTCATAACTGGAGCATAAGAGAGAACTAGAGCTTTAACCAGCTTCAGAGCTAAACACACACAAAGGCAAAGGTTGGCAGGGGTACTGAGAAGGGAACATGCAGCTCTTAAAAATCAAGTTACACTTCTCTCAAAAGAAGGCAACACAGTTTCTACTTACCCCCAGAGGTTCAGACACTCTCTGCCCAATTCCATAGCCCTAAAAAGATGTAAGGGTTAAGAACCTATCTGCCCATCTTTTTATATTTTTCCCATTAGAATATCTCATATATTAGAAACATTTACATGGAAAATAGCACTGGGGCATCAGAGTAGAATGGAAAGAAACAGCATCTCATCTGAATGACCTTATTTTTCTGAAATCAAGAGTCCCAAGTATGTGTGCTACAATCAAGCCTCACAGAAGGGGAAGATATCCTAAATTAGAGACATATTTATTAGACATCCTAAATTAGAGACATCTAATGCCTAAGAAAACCCAGGATTTTATTCCCCACCCACTTTTCATTCTATACTGTATTCACCCATACCTACATATCTGGATTTTATTACCTGCCTGTGACCCAGAGGAAAAGAAAGCCATCATCCTGCAGTACTGGTATATTGAGCCTGCGCATCTCATCATCTGTTAAGGTCCCATATGGTAGCTCCATGTGAATATCCCAAGGTGGGTCAGCCATCACAACTGCAAATTTGCCCAAGATACTGACGTCCAGGTAGCGGATATCACAACAGATCCACTGCATGAGGTAGTATTTGGTCATCTTTCCTTCTTTCACAGATTGATGGTTCCAAACCCTCTAACTCAAGTGTTCCTATCCCATTCCATTCCCATCAGTAAGCCAGGTTGCTATATTATTCTCTATTTTTCAAGATGTATGGATACTCCACTCAGTTTAGGTTTACAGCTGGAAATAGGTTTTCCAAGGCTGTCCGGAAATGTAGTTACCTGAGGTGGAAAGAGTCGATCTGCACTGGAGTCACCCCCAACACTCTGTGTAAGAGCAAGCTCCTGGCTTGGCGTATGTTCCTTGCTGCCAGGACCCTCAGAATCCATGCATGCATCAATTTCATAGTGAACATATTTGCAGGTATCCATGTGGAAACACGTGTTAAGGAAAGAGCAGTCACCTAGAGACTCATCAGTGTGCTTATTGATAATTCGTCTGGGAAGACAAAAAAGGGGGGAATCAGAATCAAGATGGTACTTAGAAGGAGATCATACAATTCAAATGCAACAGTCTCCCCAGTGCTAAAGAGCTTTAGTCTTTCTCTTGAATAAAGACTTGATCTGGGTGCAGTAGCTTAGGCTTATAATCCCACAGCACTGGTAAGCAGAGCCAGAAGATCAGAAAGATCATCCTTGAGCATGGCTGGCCTGAGCTACGAAACCCTGTCTCAAAAACAACAAAATGTGGACTTACTTCCCTTACTATACGAAAGAATTTACTCCAGGAAGGACCTTGGCTTGTTACATCCAAATAAAACACTGCCTAAGTGCAGGTCCCTAGTTTCTCCTAGACTTTTTTTTTTTTTTTTTTTTTGATACAGGGTTTCTCTGTGTAACCTCGGCTGTCCTGGACTCACTTTGTAGACCAGGCTGACCTCGAACTCACAGATCTGCCTGCCTCTGCCTCCCTGAGTGCTGGGATTATAGGTGTGTGCTTCTGTACCCAGCTTCAGACTTTAACTTTCATTACTGCTCAGGGACACAGATGACTGAGTAGAGAACCTTCCTTTTTTTTGAGCCTGTCTTCTTTCTCATACAACTGCCACCCCAAACAGGCAGAATACACTGAAAAGGAATTACTTCTTGGAAACCCTCCCACCTTTTTCCCTCCCAAGAGACCTGAAGTGCAGCTTGCGACAGGGCCGGTCAGCATCACTGGCTTTCATGCACTCTTCCTTGGTCCCATAGTCACAAAATTCTTGCACCTGGGCCCGACCTCGAGACCGAAACTTTTCAACAATGGACTGTTCCTTGGCTGTTGTGGTATTTAATAGCTCTAGGATCTCCTGACTGACCTGTGACAGAAGTAGCCTTGGTTTTAAGGGTTTGTAGATACATTATAACCCTTAAACTGCCTCCTCACATTAATGTCTGGTAATGAGAAATGAACTAACAATGTAGGAGAGTTGAAATGGGTTCAGTCCTCACAAGCATTTAGAATGGAATTCAAATACAAAGAGTATGGTTTCTACAACTAAGTAAGCTGACCTTATATCCCTAAGAGCATAATTTACCCTCAAAAAAGCTAACTTGTATTGCCTGGGTACTAAGAAAGGCACAGTGCTAGTATTTTGTTGTTTAGCTCAGTGTGCTCAATAATTCTGTAAGGGAGAATACTGCTTATCCTCATCAATGACCAAACTAACTTTTTAAAAGTAAGCTCAAAGTTATGAACATATGAGAATTCAATGTAGTTCAAATCAGAACAATTGTACTGATAATTTCATCAGTTTCCATAATGTGGTCCAAGTGAGTATCATTTAGTATTCTCCATTCATCTCCCTGTATTTACTTGAAATTTCTCTTTTTCTCTGAATCCTCTTTTGAGGATTCTTCCAGATTCTGTAAATAAGGACTTCCTCATAATGGCGCTATTGATGTTTTTGGACTAGACAGTTTTATTGGGGAAGAGGGGAGCTAGGGGTCCTACTATGCATTGTAGCATGTTTAGCAAAAACTTTGACCGCTACCTTCCAGTTGCTGTATCTATTCAGTGCCAACAAGACTCTCCCATGCTGTGATAACAATGCAGCTGGACACTGCCAAACATCTGGGATGGGGTGAAGGTAGAGGAAAATCATCCCAGTTGAGAACCACTGGTCTGTCTTAATTCTAAGAGATACTCCTTGTCCAAACAGTAATAAAACTAATTCCGAGCACAATGTGGGCTCCATATGACCCCTACCTTCTTGCTCTGTTGTTCTTTAGTAGACTGTTGGTTCAAAAGACTTTCTATCTCCAGATCAACATCTGACGCAGCATGCTTCCTTGATTTCTTAGCTGGCTCCTTAGCTGGTTCTGATATTGAAGAGGTCAGACCAGATGCTAAAGAGCTGGCAAAAG